GTGTCTCCAAGCAACAAGGGACTGACATGACCCATGCCACATCCAGTGGTTGCCGCAACAAGAAGTACAGGAGGGGACAGCGAGTGTCATCTCATGTCCCTGGGCCACCTGAGCCCAAGGGACATAAGATGTTATGTAAACAATTGCACCAGGTTCCATCTTGGAACTGGCACAACTGTTTGCATAGGCCCAAAGTTATGGTTTGTTCCAGATTCTGGGGGAGAATTTTGAGTAATGTGCAACTTTGGTTAACATTGTTCGATTTCACATTAATATTCTCTGTGCATCTGAAGCAATATTTTTGATCATGCAGACCATGAATTGAAGGGTTTGGAATCTTTCCACTGATGGTATCTGCAATACAGAATATTTTTTCCAGTAGATTCATCATGTCCAGCTACTGTTTTAGGTAGTATATAAAAATGACTTTTGAAGAGAGTACCTGGTAAAACTTTGTGATTATTTATTCTTATTATGAAACTTCCACTTTATATCCAATTTGTGTTTGTGTATTTTAATGTGTATTTTGTGGATATATGTTTAATATTAATATGCGTATTCTACAGAGTATGTTAAAATGTGTTTTAATTATGTGTTTTAGCAATGCTGTAACCCGCCTTGAGTCATGAGTACAGGTGAGGAAATAATAATAATAATAATAATAATAATAATAATAATAATTAATAATAATAATAATAATAATAATAAATCTACACAATATATTTAAACCTCTTACCATCACTGGTTTGTCTGAGTTTTAAAGATTTTTAAAAATGTATTTCTTATTGGTTTGTCGTCTTAGGTCCCCTTCTAGGGAAACAGGTAGAATTCATTAAAGGGTGGGGGGATATATTCTTGAACTTATCATGGGTAACAACAAACATACCATGGATAATAATGAACCTTACTGAATGGCTTCCATTTGAAGTTACCATAAAGTTGTCCTGGAAGACCTAGAAAATTTCCAGTGGTATACTCTCTAGGAATTTTCTTGGTTCCCCAACACAACCCCATGATCACTGCAGGTAGAAGAATACTATGGTATTGTGAAATGAAACCTTTTCTCAGATGTAGATAAGTGAAACTGCTGCTATAGGTCCCCTGAATATTGAGGTTTTTAAATGAATCAATAGTTTTTAAAAGAAAGATTAAAAAAGGGATCAGGAGGCAACCATTTACATGACTTTACATATTTTCAATCATAGGTATTCATGGAAATTTAGACATTTTTAATGTCATCTAAATAGAAATACAAAACAATTCAGAACCATGTCATGATTATGATCAATTGAACTAGGTCTCTGCTGAAAGTTTTATTTAGATGTTAATTATACTATGTAACACTATTTTTACTCCTGGGTTATAAATGTCATTTCCTAATTGGTTCTAGCATAAACACATGAAAAAAGGTTATTGAGCTGCAACATTTTGTTTTTGTGGGACACCCTGCAGCAAATTTTGCTACAGTTTTACAATGAATATCTCATAAGTCTCGACCAATTCAACATAGTTTGCGGCAGCCACAAAAAACAAGTTTCTGGAGTATAACTACTTTCTAAGTAAGTACCACACAATTAAACAGGACATAGGAACCGAAAGATTTTCAAAATCTGTTACATAGTGTTATTAATGATTACACCCCTCTCTTCTTACTGGTGATTATTTTTAATCTCTATTTTATTCCTCAACTGCACAACACTTCATACACAGGACTCTCCTCCACCAAGTAACACGTATTTCTGCATATTTTGTCCACTCGGTTAAAACTCTGCAAGTCTGTGAATTTGGGATATTAGCAAAAATTTAAGTAGAGCAGAACTATAAATAGCTGGACCAATTTATGCCCCCTCCCCCAACTATATTCATTTTATCTCTTACACTAACAACTTGCAATATTTTAAAAATGAACATGAAAATTAATTTGCATTTTCTCCAGTAGAGGCTGTTCTCAAGTTACAAACATCTGACTTACAAATGACTCGTAGTGAAAAATGGGAGTGAGACAACAGGAAGTGAGAGAAAACTACCCAAATTCATTCTTGAAAGAGTTATCATGGGGGAAAGGTGTCCTCACTGAAGCTTTATCATCAATCCTTGATTCCACAACAAGCCATTTTTTTTCAAAATCCAATTACCACAAGGAAAGAAAGAGAGGTGAAATCTTCTGAAGAGGGGCACAGATAGCAAAACAAACGTCACAGGGATATTAACTCTTCCCTATGCTAGCCAAAACTTTTATGTGTGCGCTCTCTCTCTCTCTCTGTGAATATATGCACATATGGTACACTTAAAAAGGTACCTCTTCTGACATATACAAATTCATCTTAACAACAAACCTACAGAACCTAACTTCATCATAACTTGAGGGTTGTCTGATTATGCCTTGTATATACTGATTGCAAACATACCAATTTTTGCAAGCAATGTTCCTTATGTAAAGTTTTTGAATGCTACCTTCTCTCAAAAAGTATATATGTATTTCTCTAGTACAGACATACTTTCCCCAAGGAAATCTATCTTTCTGTGCTTTTTAAAAATTTTGAGAACTTTGTCACACAGTCTGAACAAGTACAGTTATCAAACACAAATTAGGCAAATTGTCATGAAAACACAAGTATTATTTATCTATCATTCCATTGTAGAAACCTACTTGGGTATCTCGAAATAATGTTCACTCAATAGAACTCAACTAGAATACAATTCATTTAGAGAACACTGATAAAGACAGTAATGATGTTACACCACAGAGTAAAAGAGTTTTATAAAATCAAAACATATCACTTTTATATTTTGATAAAACTTGTCTTAGTTTTTCTGCTTGTATTCAAGGCTTCAATAAAACACATGACTAAATTTACAAGAAACCAATCCTGCCCGTGACCATGACAGTTAGGAATTAAGGCTAATGCATTTTCCTATGAGTTGAGCAACTTCTTTAATTCAAAATGGTCAGCTACATTTTATAGCATCCATTATTAGCACTGAGAATTGTGCTACATGTTTCTGGATCTGACAGAGAGTTCATCATTAAAGCACAATGGGAAAGGCAGGAGGAGGTTAGTGCCTTTGTTTTATGGTGCTATAAAACTGAGACTAGAAATGGTTTCTGGCACATGTCGGTATACCCCATAGTGATAAAAACACAGTACCCTGAATATATTGGTATGGTGGGATCGGATCACTGTCTAATGGATGCACAGTCTCTATTTTACTCTTGCTCCATTAGAAAATCTGCATAACGGAATCAGAGATTTAGGTCTGTTTTATGGGAATATAACTGCTAGAGATTTTTCTTTAAACAATGAACAATGTCTCTATAAAACCCAGAATCAAAACACATATTCAAAAATCTTATGTCTAATTCCCTCACTAATTGGGCATTTAATACATATTTGGTTTGGAACTTTTATTGGTATTCATAAGAGAGAATAACCTATAGTCACGATCTCATTAGAGACATTAAAATAAGCCGCATCATTACTTCTGTAAGGATTGCAAAGTATGCAACATAGCATGATGGCTTTTTAATAATGGAATCTCAATTGATTACAGTATTTAGATTCTCCTGGCATACTGCTTGGATAAATGGATTCCTAACTCTCCTTAGAGGGCTGCAATGAGCTCTCAGAACTAACTGTTGTGGAGTCCTGGAGGTTTTCTGAAATAGGAGGACATAAAATAGGGAAATGTAACAACAGCAGTACAATTTATGGAGATATTGTTTGTTCAGGGCACAGTTCCATTCCATTTCTTATTTTATTCCTATGTTAACTAGATGAATAAAAATGTAATCTTCAATCCAGTTGCTAGTTCCAATTTCTGTAGACCCATAACATCCATTGTTGAATAGGGAGTCGACATTTATGTAAATTACATTGGGACTAACAGCTGGATTTAGGCCACAAACACTGGCAGGTTTAGTTATTGTAACAGATCCATCTAATTCATTCAATACTTACTTTATGTAGATTTCCTGCAGATTCTGTCTGATTTTGAATGTCTGAGACTAAGTACCATGATATATGTTAAGTCTGCCATGATGCTACCATCAGAAAGGTCCATGTGGTAAAAATTAAGGGTGAAAAGTAGACACTGCAACAATGTGGGAATAGTGCTCACCAAATGGATCGCAGCCATCTCCTTGCTAGCATCTGACTACTGAAAATGTGAGATAGGAGTGCAAAACCTCATATGATGACTTTGACTTATATAGTGAGTGCTTCCATATGTTTTTCCAAGAAAGGAGATCAGTGACCAGAGAAGAGTATTGTGTTTCAGTAGGAAATTTATGATAACCATAATGCTCCAGTTCTGATCTTGAAAAGGATATAGAATTTTTAAATGATGTTGGTTAAAAAGAAGAAAGAAATAGTAATAATCACAAATCTGTCATTGTATTATGGGTGACTGTAATTTTAAATTCCTACCTTCACAATATGGAGGTGGGCCTGATTTTTTAGCAGAACATAGAGACATTAGTCTTTTGGACTACCACTTGCTGAATCCATCAGTCAACATGTTAAGTAACATGCAACTTTTCCAAGCACTGGGTTGGTTTGAGTTTTCCGGGCTGTATGGCCATGTTCCAGAAGCATTCTCTCTTGATGTTTTGTCCACATCTGTGCCCTGTATCCTCAGAGGTTGAGGGTTAAACCTCACTTGCCTAGTTTCCAACAGACTCCTCAACCTCTGAGGATACCTGCCATAGTTGTCGGTGAAACATCAGGAGAAAATGCTTCTGGAAAATGGCCATACAACCTGGAAAACTCACAGCAACCCAGTGATTCTGGGCATGAAAGCCTTTGACAACACTTTCCAAGCTCTGTTTTGCAAAGTAAACAATCAAGTTTTGCTTTCAAAGAGTGCAATCTCAATTTCAAAAGATTTTATTTTCTTTCTTGTGGGAAAATATTTGCAACATTTAAGCCTAAAAACAAAACAGCAAAGAAATTACCACCTTTCATTATGCAAAGAAATAAAAAGTGAAACATCATACTTACAGATATATCATCACTAAAATCTATTTCATCCAGATCAAGATATTCAGGGGCTTCCATTATTCTTCTATGCACATCTTCATTGGCTTAGTTGAATAATAAATGTCTGTTGAAGAGAGAAAGGGAGAGGAGAAAATTAACAAAGGTCACTTAAATGTAGTGAAGGTACAACTCTCCTCAGCTCACTAAGAAAACAGCGAAATAACAGGATTCTTGGTGAGCACTCTTGGCGACCATTTGGGAAAGGCTCATTTGTATTCTCAGAGTGATGTTCAGGCTCAAATGTTCATGCATATGAAGTGGTGTAACTTGTAATTGCAGTTTTTAGCAATTGCAGAGTGGAGAGCAGCCATCTCCCCTTTTCTAATGCAAACATACTTGGAAAGAAGAGAGACACAGGGAATCTATTGTGACACACAGCATGAAACTGCTAATATCAAAAATGAGGTAAAGTTACAGAAATATATTGAATTAGTCATGATGACAAAATACAATTTAAACGACACCAGCGGAGAATTTAAAAACCATGTAATGAACAAATGTGCACTACAATACCTAATCCAAAGGGAACCAGAACCCTGGACTGAAACCAGGGATGCTATCAGGGAAGAATGTCTGTAGTTAACAAGAAAAGGATGACTGATGAAACTCTCCAAAATAAGAATAGACAAGAAACAAAAGTGAAAGGTAATAAAAATAGGGCGATAATTCAAAATTCAGCTGTTTAGTGATTTGCTTCTTTAGACCAGAGAACTATTATAATAACCAATTCAAAGATACAAAAGTAGACAGCACAAAAGGAAGGACAAGAGACTTCTTCAAAAAGTTCTGAGACTAAAAGTGATATTTGAATCAAGAATAGGGATGCTATATGACCAACAGGGGAATACATTATATAATCAGGTTACAAACAAAAGCCTAAGAAAGCAACACACTGAAGATCTACATTAAAGAGATGAAAGGATGATAGATTTCTTCAAGGAAAAACCTTTTGCAAAAGCTTTAGAAAGTAGAGTAGAGATTTCACTCGAAGCCATAAATCACCAGGAACAGATGACACACCAACAGAGTTGTTTCAAGAAATTTTAGAGATAGAATCCATTCAATTCATATTATAATAAAAATATGACAACAAATCTGGAAAACAAAGCAACGGTCCACAAACTGGAAACAATATTGTTGGCTTGTTGATTTATTTAAATTATTTAAATATCCATACCCTGCCACCTATACAAAGATTTCAGGGCAGCATATTATTAAACCAACCTAATAGCAACAATGAAAAAATAAATAAAATAATTTAAAAGGTTAAAGGTTAAACACTTTCCCAGCAACTTTACACAGGAGCAGATCATCATAGGTATTCTGACCTCTCTCATAAACTCTTGAAACCTTGTACATTGAAGAGCCTTTAACCCTAGTGAGCATCCTATATGTGAACCCTGTTGCTCTTGTATACTGCTGTGAAATTTGTTGTATCTTGAATCCCTGGACTGACTATTAACTACTTATTTGGATCACCCTTGAACTCTGGATTCTCTAACTTGACCTCTGGAAAAACTATTATGTTTTGGTTTCTTGAATCTTGGACATTAATCAGTGAACTCTTGGCATTTGATTCCCGGGCTGCAATCTTGACTATGGTGTACCCTCCTGAACCTGTAGTATGCTCCTTGTTCTAAGTCTTTGCTTTGTATCTGTGACTGTGTGCTATCTTTATGTTTTGAGCTTAGACTTTGAAATCAACCAAATGAGTAAGTGCTACTTTAAGTAAAATAGTTTCGAGACAAGCTG